AGGTGCAGTTAAACTGGTAACTTTATTGGTAAATTTAAATAAATATTATTTAAATAATTTTAATAAGTAGCACTTATAAAAATGGAATTTAAATACTGAAGAATAAAATATCAGATAATAAAATATATAAAGTAAACAAGGAATATGTATTTTAACTATCATAATGCCTTATTGTTTATGAAAATGTGTATGATAAAATTAACTATTGAAAATAAAAATAGAAGTGAAAAACAAAGAAAACAAATATAAATGTTGGAGTTTAAAATATTGCCGCGTTCAATACGACCGAGGCCCGTGTCTGATGCAAAAGCAAACGAGACTTTATTAGGCCAGCTCGCGCCAGGATCCTTCCTTTACGTGTCCTGACACAGCAGGCGCACCCCTCAAGGTAGGATCTCGAAGATCTACAGAGTGGGGTTTATAAGGACAGTTAGTAGGGCTGAGGATTTTTCACTGAGTACGTCTGTTGTTGGTGGGTGCCGGCAAATTCCTGTTTGTCCAGCTGTTAGGGATACAGCAGGCGCTGGAAACTTAATCTTGGTCAAGCAGAAATCTAGGCTTATCTCTGGGAACCTATCCAGCCAGCACGTTCCAGGAAAAATGGCTCAGAAGGGGGCGAGCTGTCTAGTGAGAACTTACTTTTCACAACATTCCCAATAAAAACACCCAAAAAGTGAAGAAATAGTAAATATTTGTAAGATTTTTAGGAAAAAAATTAATAAATGATAATCACAATTAGGATAAATTTCAGCAGTGAAAAGACAAACTTGTCAAATTAAATGAAAAATACTGGCAAGACATCATGCAAAATATTAGTAGAGTTAAAGAGAATTAGACTGTAATGGCACATGTTTATTTAACAATCTGTAATAAGTTTAAAATTGTAGCTAATAACCACATAGAAGGGAGAAAAATGAAGGAGGAAAGAAAAAGAGTGCCAGAGTTCGATATTCAGAGAGGGAAAAATGAAGGAAGAGAAAGGAGATTTATCAAAACTAAAGAAGACAGAGTTCAAACATATTAAGAATAAACAAATATTTTTGACAAAAAGGTAATAAAATCCTAGAATTCCTATTGTTTATCTAACATAGAAATGATTTTGGGAGAAATGATAAACCTGAACAGCTATAAAACCACTGAAGAATTTAATCTGCAGTTATGACTCAGGAGCTGACTGTATGCAATCTGTGAATTCTCATTATTTCACAGTGCAGGCTTGGGTCAATGATCTCTGGATGATTGCCAAGACTCAGCAGGAGGAGAGTCTCCATGAAAGAGAATGATGGTACATGTTACATGATGGTACATGTTATATATATTTCAGTTAGCCTAATGTGGCATTGAGAATGCATATTTTAATGAACATACATGAACTGTTTAAAAAAATCACTTGAACAACATTTAGGGAAGGGGTATTCTAGCAGCCAGTTGTGGTATGTGCATTAGCTAAAGAAACTGATCAGATGTTGAACCTCCTTTCCTGTATTTTTGACTTCAGAACCAGTAGTGCATTTTCACCATTGATATTAATCAGTTACAAGTGCTAAAACAAGACATCACAGGCATTTTGGTGGCTTCAAAAGCAGGCATTTCTTTTCTCACAGTTCTGGGTCTTCAACGATTTACTTTCTATGAACTACATATCATAGGTAAGATTTATTTTATATTCTCCAAGAAATTATTTCTATCTGATATGTTGGAACATATAATTTATTAGATATTTTAGAACAGCTTATAATAAGAAATTATGTCAAAATGCCTTTTAGTATACACAAAATATTAAATTCTGTTTCTTTGAGTCCTCATCAGAGCCTAAAAAAAGAACAATTCTAAGTTTCCTCTGTCCAGAGTAAAATTTGGTAACAAAATTTGGAAATAATATATACTTGGAGTCAGAAAGGCCCTGAAGCCAGTGTGGATATATTCACCCTGGGAGCACATGGTCTGGGTTCTAATCTACTTAAATAGATTCGTGTTAAGACATTTAACCCTCTTGAAACTCAGCTTCCAGATGTATAAAAAGGAAATGGTGAAACTATATTATAAGGCTATAAGGAAATGAAAGTAAATAATACACTTAAGACATCCACTAGAATGTAACTTAATCAGCAGAGCTTGGAAGGTCGAAATGGTAACAGTGCAAAGTTTAACAAGTGACATTGATCCTTCTTTAATGTAGCTTAGAAAAATCTTTTTTGTCTTCTCTTCTACAACAAATTTATTTTGCAGTTATGTTGCGTGTTACAACCTAGGATGAATGCCTGGGAACTTGGGAAAGAGAATATTAAAAGAGGAAGCTGTTATATGGATGAGTCAATTTTTTTTAAAGGTTTTTTTAAAGCTTCTGCATGTGCTCCAAGATGATTGGAGAAGTTGTCAAAGGGATGGCCTTTTTTTCCTTTTTCTTTTAAAGGGTTTGATTATTTCAAACTCTTGCAATCTAGTTTTAGAAATGTACCCAATAAAATAAACACAATAAATAGTTACAGAGGCCATTGCATGTCTTCATCTTGAAATCTAGATTTAAAGAAAAAACTAGATTCGTTGGAGCTGCCAGAATATAGCAGTCAGGCAATGTGGAGACAGAGATTCAAGATTTAATTCAGGCTTCCGAATACTGAATACCTGCCGGGAGCATCACCCTCTACAGAGTGAGACCGGGGAGTAGTTACAGAAACCAGTTTTTATACACTGCAGGCAAAGAACCGAAACCTGGTTGTAACAGAGATAACATTCTTAAAGCTGGCCCTAGGGTGTTTGTCAAGTCTTAAGGAACCATTTGACTGGCAACCTGGGCCTGTTGCAGATTAAGGAGTTTTACAAGTTTTTTTTCTTTAGGACAAAATTATTTGGAGAATTTCCTATTGCAGCAAGCAGCAAGCAGAAAGCAGAATACAGAAGCAAAATAGCGGGTACCACAAAATGGTATAAGCTTGGTTCAATACAGGTCCAACAGATTCTTCCCCAGGTTCCCGGATTGTATGGAAGACTTCCCCAGTCTGCTTGCTACTCCCCTTGGAAGTGTTTTTTAGTAGATCTGCTTGTTCTGCTCCCCATTCTGTCTCTGGTGAATCCTAGGACTCTGTACTTCTGGCCTGCACCACAGTTCTTGTATGCATACATACATAAATATATATATATATATATATATATATAAGACATGCAGCACTGAATGAAATGATAACCTATGGACTGATAGAAGATATTTATATGTCCAAATATGCACTTATATCCAAAATATATAAACAATTCCTACAATAAAATATCAATTGAAAAATATAAACATTTAATAAATTCTTCATCAAAGAGGGTACCTAGTGAATCAATTGCTACATGAAAGTTGCGCTACTTTGTTAGAAGGAAAACACAAATTAAAACCACTGGCCTGGGGCCCTCCCTGTTGGGGAACAGGTTAAAGCACAGCACTAAGAAGCTTCCCGGCCCTCCCTGGTGGCGCAGCGGGTTAGAGCACAGCACTGAGAGTCTGGGGCCGCTTCCGCATGAGTTCAATTCCCGCCTGCCCCGGAGGTGACCACGTGGCGTGGCAGACCTCTCCTGACCCGCCCGCTGCTCCCCTCAGCAGTGTACTTCCTCGATCTGCCTGTTCTGCTCCCCACTCTGTCTCTGGTGAATCCTCTCACCCTCCGCATCTCTGGCCTGTACCCCAGTTCTGTATGAATAAATAAATAAATCTTTAAAAAAAAAAAAAAAAAAAGAAGCTTCCCACAGCCACTGCAGCACAAGTTTACTCCCTGGCTGACCCACATGGCACAGCAGACCTGTGCTCCCCTCAGCTGTGTATTTCAGTAAATCTGACTGTTCTGCTTCCTACTCTGTTTCTGGTAAATCCTCTCACCACCACCACCATCCCCTCCCCATCCCCAAAACCCCCACCCCTTCCCCCCACCTCTAGCCTATACCCTAGTTCTTGTATGCATAAATAAATAAAAATAAATCTTTTTTAAAAATCAACATTTTGATGTCTTGGTTTTAGAATGATCAAACCCCTATGTGTAAAAACAATTTTTATATTTAATTTCTTTATCTGTATTTTACAACAGATGTGGTTCCAATAGAATTTGCACCAACGCCCCCATGCACCATCACCTCAGTCCCTTATCTCTTCCCACCCACATTTTGTACTCTTTCCCTCATCCACCCCAAATAATGTCTCTGATTTATAGTTAATTGTCTGCTTATTTTTTATTAGCTTTTTGTAGTTTTTTAATTGTTAATTATTGTTTCTCTGGTCCCTTATTAGGTTTCTCTACATTCTTCCTATAACTGAAACCATCTGAGAATGAACACTTTAATCCACACACATGCATAACAAATCTTTAGAAATCTGACTTCATGGGTTAATGGAATTGCAGGCTCTCCCATATCAGCCAGCACTGCATTCTTGGTAAAGTTTACATGTTTTCTGAGTCTTGATTGTGTAAGCATTGCCTAACCCCAAGTTCTGTAAATGATTTTTAAGAGTTTTTGTCATTTACAGAACTTGAGGTTAGGCACAGGACAAGGATGGGAAAAGCTCAAGGTACTGTGGTGATGGTGCAAGGGTGAATTGGCAGAGGAATTTCATGGGGAAATGAAGCATTGTACAGAAATGAAAGATGATGTAATGAATATACTTTTTTTAAATATACTTTTTAAAAAGAAAAGTTTCTGTTGTTTTATCTGCAGTTTGCACACAGGTGACCAGAATGGAATTTGAATAATTACAGGATTTATGAAATTCAGAAGCTATCGCTACTTACTGCTTTGTACATTTCAAGAATCTGAGCATATTCCAAAGAAGAACATGCTTGGGTTTATACAAACAAACCAAGGACAAGCCACAGTGTTAACACTGTGTAGGAATGCAGAGAGAATCCAGTTCCGGGCCTGGCACTGCTAGGGCTTGTGGTCAATTTCTTTTATTTTGCAAGTTTTCAGATGGGAGGGGCATCCCCTTAACTCCGAAGCTGTTTCAACTTCCTTTTGAGCAAGTATTTTACTGCACTGATCATCACTTTTAGCAGAGGAGATCGTGATGTAGTGTGGACAGTGACGGCTATTAAACATACACCTAAAAAGATTTAAAAAATGAAACTTCCAGTGAAGATTGTGTGGCTTATGTTATGGACTGCTTGCATAGCACAAGGTAAGACAAAAAGAATTTTTGTTCTAGATTATGAAACATTTGCAAATATGATTTTAACAGAGGCAATACAAATTTAGTCAAAAATATGATTTAGTTAATATAGTTTACATCATTTAATTCTGTAGCTTAATATGTAAGTGTCTTTTGCCATTAAGTTTAAAAAATAAGGAACTTTTTGAAATGAATATTCATCATAATCTTATTTAATGTAAAATTTCAAAAACTTTTTTAATATTTTTTGAAAATGCAGTATCATAGTCCCTTCATTTGCAATTGTCATAAAATATAATTTACATTTATTGTCTAGAATTTTTACCATATTGACTTATGTGAAAGTATTAAATATGTGAAAATATAGACCCAGAACTTAAGTTTGACAATAAAAATCTTAAAATTATGATATTTATTTCAAATCAGGATGTTAGCTCTTCCTAAAGATAAACTTATTTATCATTTACAATTGACATTATCATGACCTTAAAAGTCTTGTGGATGAACATGACTTATATCATTAAAATTACAACAGTGTGTGGCCCTCCCTGGTGGCGCAGCGGGCTAAAGCACTGCACTGAGAAGCTTAAGCCACTTGCGCATGAGTTCGATTCCAGCCT